AAAATGACTTAATAAAAGTTATTTATTTTATTTTAATATAAAAAAATTCCTATAAATATATTTTTATAGATATGTCTTTTAAAAAGAAATTAAAATTACATAAAAATTGTTAAATTATCAATACAAGTTATATATATATTATTATTTTAATAAAGCCATTAAAAAACATGTTCATATATTCGAATTGTTTTAATTTTTATCAATAAAATTAAAATTGTTATAATTATTTTTAGATAAAATCAATGAATTTAAGTTAAAACTTTCACTATTTCTCTTATTATTTTATGTATTTTCCATATAATTTTATATATTACTCATATTAAATTATATGTTTCCTATATTATTTTATAAATTCTCTATATTAAATTTTATTTTATCCATACTATTTTATATATATTCATTGCTATCATAGTTATTTTGTATAGAATTAAAATTAAAATTATAATTTTAAAGTAAATCAAATTAGTTATCTTTAAATTAATTATCATTAATATTATTTTATATATTCTAATAAAATTAGTTTTATAAACAATCATTTTAATTAATTTAGTTTTAAAATTAATTTAATAAATATTAAATATTTTAATAATCTTCACAAGTTTAAATTTAATTCATATTTTAATGGATGCTTTTTTATATTTAAGCTTACATAAATTACTTAAACATATCCGATATTTGCAATTATTATTAAATTTTGATATTATTTTATTCCATCATTTACAATTATGACTTTAAGATCATATTAAGAATATTATTTAATTCTTATTATTCTACTAATTTTTTTTCTATATAATGTATATTTTCTAATTTAAAATTATTCTATTTTTTTTATAATTTTTATTTTAAAAATAAATAAAAAAAAAAATACATTAATTAAATTTTAAATTTTATTTTATTATTTTTGAACATATTTATGTTTATTTCCAAAAAAAAAATTATTTTTTTCGGAAATATCCTTTTTTTTTTCATATATATATTCTAAAGGAGCAAATTATAAAACATCCCAAATTAAACTGTCGAACTCATCCTCGCAAATAATATTTAATTTTATTTCCACATCTTTAAATATTTAAAATTTTTAAAAGAAACTACTCTCAAAACAATCAATTACTTTATTTTTATAATTTTCAAATATATCTTTATATATTAGACTATCATAAAGAAAAGTCCCAAATTATCTAATATATATGATTTTATATAATATAAATATATTATAAATTTATAAAATATATATATATATTTATATTATTTATATTTTTATATTTTTATATTTTTATATTTTTATATTTTATATTTTTATATAAAGGTTTTATTATTTACTTCATTTTATTTTTATATCTCCAATATTTGAAATTATCACTTATCCAAAAAGCATCAGGTTTATTTTTTAAATGAATAAAAAATTATTTATATAATGGATTCTATTATATATAATTCATATATATAATATTTTACAAAAAAAAATACATTTTTTTATAATGAAAAAGGTAATAAATCTATATTATTAATTAAAGAATCATATAAATTAGGATATATTAATGTTCCTTTTCTTTCTATACCAAGAGTAGTAGCTGGAAAGGCAACAGTTTATTTATACCAAGTATTTAATTAACCCCATACAAACAATGAAGAATAAGATTATTATTCTTCTAAAAATGTATTTTATTAATCATCTTATAAAAATTATAAATTAATAATTTCGTCTTTGAATATTTTTATGGGTTCACTTTAATGTTATTTATATTTATAAGCAGTAAAAAACTCATGTGTAAAGGCATAGAAATGTAAAATAATAGCAAATCCATCAATATTAATTATTTTTTCATCTTTTTATAACTAAAAAATTAAATCGCTCAAAATCAAAAGTAAAAATCTTAATTAAATTAAAATATTCGAAAAATTTTCATTATCTTCCTTAAAAACGCATTCTGATGTATTTTTTATTAAACTTTTTATTTACTCAATTATTTTTACATTTTTTGGGTTTTTGCTGTTTATCTAAAAATATTCAATCAAATTTAAGAAATCCTTTTTTAGAAAACCTTTTTAATTTCCCCATATATTTTAAAAAAATCTCCTTATTTTTTATTTTATATAAATATATATATATATATTGTATTTTAATACTTCATTATTTAATTTTATAAAAGGAGGTGTAAAATCTTATAATTGATTAATATAGTATTTAACTTTATCTATAGAAATAACAATATTTTATATTCTTTAATCTTTTCTATATTAGGCTAAATTAAACTTTTATTTTTGTTCTTTTTTATTTAATTTCTCACTTTCAGGTCCTAATAATTGCTTTAAAAATAATTCATTTTCTTAATTTATAATTCTTAATATATAACTTATCCATTTTTATAGCCATTCAGGGGAATCATTTATTATATTAAATCTAAAGCTAAACTCTTCTAAAATTAACTTTATTAGAAAATATTAAAAAATTAAAATATAAATATTATATATAGAAATATATATATTTATATATATAAACATATACATATTATATATATATATATTCATTTACTTTATCTTCATTAGTAAATTATTCAAAACATGCTTTTTAAATGATTAAAGTTCTGTCTAGAAAATTATGAATTTTATCAAGAATTTAATTGAATTATTTAAAATTAGTATTCTATAAATCCAAATATAATCCTCTACAGTTGGGTGACATACATAAACATTTTGAAAGCTACATTAAATTTATAATAAAAAATTTTAATAGAAAATTAATTATAATAATTAACTTATTATTCTTTAATACTTTCAGTAATAGCCATATAATCAAATGTCCTGTTGAAAAAAATAAATTATAATTATTAATATATATATATATATATATATATATATATATATATATATATAAATTTACAATTCTTATCCATATTCAATTTATTATATAGCATATACTGCAATCACATAATTTTTTTGATTGGTAATAAAAGAAAATGTCCCACAATTAGGTTAACATGAATGATTAATGCTACTTGAAAAATTTCCTTTTGAAATTGAATCTATATACTTGATATATAAAATAATTTAAATATAATATAATACACTTATGTATATATATATATATATTTAAAATTAAAAATGATATATACTAAAATATCATATCCTTTTTAATCATCTTTATGTATTTCTAACATTATATTCCAAAAATCTGGTAAAATATAATTTTTATATTTTTCCTTTATAATTTTTTTTATAAAGTTTTATTTTTCAAACCATCTCCAAGGTTAATAAATTTAACCTATATATTCAGTAATAAAATCATTTTATTTAATTCCTTTTTTACTTAATTTTGTTTGTTTCGTTTAAAACAAAAAAGATTATTATAAAAAAATAATTTTTAAATACTTAATACAAATTAATCCTTTTCCTTTTGTATGAATTCTAAAAGCCTCAGAATATAAATTTAAATTTTCGTCCTATTTTAACATTAAATTCTTTAGAAAAAAAAGTGCATTTAAAATACTTTTTGCACACTATCTTGAAATCTTACTAAATATATAATCTTTTTTTTCATAAAGACTAATCTATTTATCCTAACTATTATTTAAAATAAATATACAACAGTCTTCCATATTCCAACCTTTATCATCTAATAAATTATATGCCTTAGCTAAATCAAATTATATGAATTTATTCTTTAGGTAATCATTTAAACGTTCAGGTAATATATAAAAAATATTTTTCTTTGTATATTAATCTAATCCCCAACAAAGGCATTCTTGTAAATCTAAATAAAGCAACTTTTTTTTTTTTTTTTTTTATAGATTATTTAATATATTAAAAATAATTAGGGATATATATTTATATATACATATTTTTATACTTACTTTTCCATTTTTTTTTGATATTTTTTAGTTTTAACAATTACAATCTATACATTCTATCTTATTATTAAAATTCTAACATTCACTTTTCCATGTAGATAATAAAGGATTATATTTTCCTAAAGTTTCTATTTTATTACATACGCAATTTTTTTGACATTTAGATGTTATTTTATTTGATTTTAACTTTTCTAAAATTTGTTTTTCAAATTGTTTAGGTTAAGGCTCATATTAAGTGATTTATTCATAATTTCTATATTTTTAAGGGATTACAGGCCAATCTTTAACCTGGCTTTTAAACTATAAATTAATTTTTAGTAAACTAATAATATCTTATTCTTTATATTTTTTTAAGTTCTATTCGAAATTATTATCTTAGACAAACTTATAATATTTTTATATTAAATAAGTAATATATATAAAAGAATCAATTTTTTTGCATCTAAAAAAAGGCAAAAATTAAAAATTCTTCTAAAATCTTTATCTATTTATTCGAATTTATAAAAATTATTATTTTCAGCCTTTTTATATATTATATATATACATTCTTTTTTTTTTTTTTTTTTTTGTTATAAAAAAATAATACTTTTTGCCTTAAAAAATCGATACTTTTATTAAATGATTAACTTAAATAATTTAATATATTTTAAGGGAAATTCCTTAAAAGTTCTTATTTTTTAAAACAATTGACATTAATTAAAAAATTTGCATCTTCTTTCTATACAAAATTTAAATAAATTCCATCTTTTTCTTAATAATTATAATAAAAATTCTAATTTAAATATTCCTATATGTAAAATTAATAAATGTCTCCTTTTTTTACTTCTTCTATTGTTTTTTCTTAATTATAGTTTATTTCTTTTTTATTTCGTTTTATTTATCTCTTTTATAATTATTATATCTTAACATCTTTTTTTATATATTATTTCTACAAGCTTTAAATAGGTAAATATTAATAAACTTTATTTATTTTTAATGAATTCTAATTATTTTTTATAAAGTCATCTATGTAAAAACACCAATTTTACATTCTTAAAACTTATAAATAATCAATATTTATTATATAATCAATCAAATTTAATACAAAATCAGGAGTATTAGATCTATATAATATATTCTAAGAAGATTCTTAGGAATGTTAATCAATTTTTATTTGTTATATTATTTTTTTATTTATATTAATCATTTTTTGATTGTAACATTTTAATTTATTTTCTTATAAATATATATATAAATTTATATATAAATATATATATATATATTTATTAATTATCTTATTTTAATTATTTCTATACTTTTCTAAATAAAAAAATTAATGATTTATATATATTAATATTATTTATATTAATTTATTAGATATTTAAATTTTATAAACTAAACAAATATATATATATATATATATATATATAT